GGCTTCGGGTTTTGTTGGCAAAAACAGTGACGGGAGCCCGGCGAGATGTGGTTTCTGTTGCCTGTGCGTGTCCTTGAACACGTGGCCTGAGTCTTGTCTCAGAAAGGGTCACATTTACACCCAAATGCAGAGCCCGCGGGCCCCGCACCGCTGTTTGCTCCCAGTGCCAAGTCCAGTGGGTGCTGTTGTGCTGGACTCTGCCTGCATCGGACGCTTCTTTTATCTCCACCCGAGGATGTTTTCCCATTGATTTTTTTTTTTTAAGAAAGGGAGGGAGGAGAGGGAGAGAAGCATCAATGCGAGAGAGACACGCTGATTGGTTGCCCCCAACGAGGGCCGGGGATTGAGCCTGCAACCGAGGTATGTGCCCTTGACTGGGAATCGAACCCGGGATCCCCGGCCTGTGGGCCGACGCCCTAACCACTGGGCAACCGGCCAGGGCAGCATCTGAACTTCCTACCACAGAAAGGGCGTAGCGTTCTGAAGGGCGTCACAGGCCACGGGAAGTTAGGCGTGGCCTGCGCTTTGGTCCATCTCCGACGCGGCGCCCGTAAGTCTTCCCGTGGCTCCCGTCCCACAGATCCTCAGCAGCCACGTCCAGTTCACGGTGTCCCACGGCCCCTCGGATGCGGCGTCCATGCGGCTGTCCCGGTCGCGCGTGGCTGACGGTGAGTGGCACCACCTGCTGATCGAGCTGAAGAGCGCCAAGGAGGGCACGGACATCAAGTACCTGGCGGTCATGACCTTGGACTACGGCGTGGACCAGGTGGGCCGGCACCGGCACCTCTGGGTCAGACCCCTTCATCGGGTCTGCGGGGAGCCCACTGACCCTCCCGCCTACCGGGACCCCCCCAGCGCCCTGGTAGATTTGGGGGTGCCCATTCTGAAGCCCCTGAGTCTGGGTCTCACATTCTGCCTTATGCTGAGGTCCCTGGCACCTGCGCCTCGTCCCCTTCCCGGATGGCCAGCTCCCAGGGTCAGGACCTGGGCTGCATCCGTGTGTCCATCCTGGCGCCGTGGCTGCCTTTCAGCAGGGCATCTTAGCGGGCCTGTCGAGCAATGGTTGTGTGCTCGGCGCTGTGCCTTCGGGCGCAGAGATTAAAAACCTCGGAGTGGACGGTGCGTGCAGGTGGGCGAGCAGGGAGCCCAGGGAGCAGAGGGCCGTGGGACACCAGTGAGGCGCACCTGACCCAGGCGGGCACGTGGCAGCCGGCAGGGCGCACTCGGAGCGCTGGCTGAGCCACACGATCGCCACGGTTTGCGGGGAGAGGAGAGGAGCATTTACAGGACGCCCGGGCGACTGTTCGGCGCTCTGGGAGTCCAGGCTCATCTCACCGCCGGCTCTGCGATGAGCAGCTGCGGGTCCCGCGGGCACCCTTCCGGCTCAGGGTCTGCTGGTGCCCCCTTAGATGCCCCATCGTGGGCGTGTTTTCCATTCGCTGCTGTCTCCCCAGGTCACCAGCTCTTTCCCGCATCGTGGCCAGTCATGGAGGGGGAGGTTGCCCACGTCCCCCCACTGACCCTCTGGGCTGCACTGGGACACGGACACGGGGCCTCTGACCCGGTTCCCCCGCCTCGCGCGTCACACACAGCAGCCGGGTTTTCTGAGAGAAGGCTGAGCCCAGCCCACTTTTATTCTTATTTTTTTTTTAATGTATTTTATTGATTTAAGAGAGGAGGAGGGAGAGAAAGATAGAAACATCTATGATGAGAGAATCATGGATCGGCTGCCTCCTGCAGCCCCCACACTGGGGACCGAGCCCACAACCTGGGCCTGTGTCCCGACCGGGAATCGAACCGGGACCTCCTGGTTCATAGGTTGATGCTCAGCCCGAGCCACGCCGGCCGGGCTGCCTGCTGCTTGAAGGCCCAGGGCTCCACCTGTGGGTTTGCCCGAGCGGCTGCGTGTGCCTTCGAGCGTGAAGCAGTTTCGGGTGGGTGCACCCTCCCCCACAGGACACGGTGCAGATCGGGAACCGGCTCCCGGGGCTGAGGATGCGCAGCGTGGTGCTGGGCGGCGTGTCGGAGGACAAGGTCTCGGTGCGCCGCGGCTTCCGGGGCTGCATGCAGGTACGCGCGGCTGGCGCGGTGGGCACGGTGGGCACGGGCATGGGCAGGGGCACCGCTCGCTGGCTCCGCTGCTGCCCCGCGGCTGGAGCCCTGGCGACTGCTGGTCTCAGTGACCAGTCGCTCGTCTGAGCACCGACCCAACGTTAACACACGCGGGTCCCAGCCCCGCCCGGTCCTCCTCATGTCCCTCGCGTTCTCCCCCCCAGCCCCCCCCCATCTGCCACCCGCGCCTGCCGCTCTGCCCTCCTGGCGAGACCAGAACCCGCCCCTCGCTGCCTCCACCAGCCCCGCTGTCTGCCCCCGGGGCCCCCCTGCACGCCCACCTGTCCCTCGTCCACGTGTGCTGTCTGGCAGCTGTTTGTTGAGTAGCCCTGCTCATGGCCCAGCTCGAGGCCCAGCTCGCGGCCCAGCACCTGTGGCAAGGAGATACTTCCGTTCCTTCACCTGGTGCCCCGCACGCCCTGCGTGCTCTCTGAGCCCCTCCCCCAGCTCTGCTGTGCTCCGGCCCCGGGCCTCCTGCCTGGGAACTCGCCACATGTGGCCCCTGTGGTGCCGGCCGGGTGCCCTCGCTCAGCCACCCTCTGCCGTGAGCGCCGGGCCCCCCGCCCCCCCTTCCCCCCCCCCCCGCAGTCACACCCGCATGCACTTTCCCTCGTGAGCTCATCCGGGTCGCTGGGCTGCGGGGGCCTGTCTCCTGGAGCACAACCTGGGGAGGCGGGCGACCTCGTTCTGCCATCGCCCCCCCTCCCTGCTCCCCTCGCCCCCTTGTCCCAGGGCCCCAGATAAATGAGGTGTCACGTTAGAAACCAGGGACAGAGGGCACTGCGGGTCCGTAACCGCCCAGAGGCCCCGGGATCGAGTCCCTGGCCTTTCTTCCCGCAGGGCGTGAGGATGGGGGAGACGTCCACCAACATCGCCACGCTGAACATGGACGACGCCCTCAAGGTCAGGGTGAAGGACGGCTGTGACATGGGCGACGCGTGCGCCTCCAGCCCCTGCCCCCGGCATAGCCACTGCCAAGACGCCTGGGACGGCTACACCTGCGTCTGCGACAAAGGTGAGCGCCCGCCGCCCGCGCCCGCCGCCCTCAGCCCACTGCCCTCAGCCCGGCGACGCCTCGGTGCTGACACTGCCCTGGGGGGCTGCGCGGGGGCCCGGCTTCCCAGCAACCCTTCGTGTCGGGGAGCCCCGAGCTCCGGGGTGTGACCAAGGACTGGGCCGGCCGTCTCTTCCTTTAAAAAAATTTTTTTTATTTTTCAATTTATTACAGAGAGGGAGGGAGAGAGAGACATAAATGATGAGAATCCTGGGTCGGCTGCCTCCTGCACGCCCCCTACTGGGGATGGAGCCCACAACCCAGGCCTGTGTCCCGACTGGGAATGGAACCGTGACCTCCTGGTTCATAGGTCATAGGTTGACACTCAACCACTGAGCCATGCTGGCCAGACTGGGCCATCTCTTCTTTTTTTAATAATATATGTGATTGATTTTTTACAGAGAAGAAGGGAGAGAGATAGACAGTTAGAAACATCGATGAGAGAGAAACATCGACCAGCTGCCTCCTGCACACTCCCCACTGGGGATTGAGCCCCCAACCAAGGTACATGCCCTTGACCGGAATCGAACCTGGGACCCTTCAGTCCGCAGGCCGACGCTCTATCTACTGAGCCACACCGGCCAGGGCAGGGCCATCTCCTCTTAGACGCATTCCCGTGTCTCTTTTGCACTCGGGCAGAGGGGCCCCAGGCCTCAGCCTCAGGGCTCGAGATGAGATGAGGAGAATTAGGTGAAAGTACACATTTTTAAAGGTGTACGTTCAATGTTTGCCTCTGGATTTGGAGGTGCCGTAGCCGTGCCAGCGGGCACCCACCACCGTGTGTCCTCGGGTGGCTGGGACCCTCTGCCCGTGGTTCCCGCCCTCCCGGGGGCGCCTGGGAGCCCTTGTCTGTGAGACAACGTTGGGCCCACTGAGTGCTCACGTTTCCCGTGACACCAGGAGGCTGGGAGGACAGTGGCCAGGGTGTCGGACATGAGGGTCTGGCTCCGGGGGGCGGGGGTCATGCTGGCCTGTCCCCACAGGGTACTTTGGAACGAAGTGCGTCGACGTGTGCCACCTGAACCCCTGTGAGCACCCGGCGGCCTGCGTGCGCAGCCCCAGCGCCCGCGGGGCTACGTGTGCGAGTGCGGGGCCGGCCGCTACGGGCCGTACTGCGAGAACAGGTGAGAGATGCACGCGTGTCGCCGCCGGGCGTCCACGCAGGTGCTGCTCCTGCCAGTTTCTCCTCGTGGTGACTTAACCCAAAATGCATACAATTCTGGGTCAAGGACCCGTTTAATCGGCACGAAGTAAATCAGAACCAAAGTGGGCGTCTCGCACGAACCTCGGTTGAGCCCGTCTCCACCGGAGACGTACAAACTGCTCGCTGACCTCCAGCCGCTGTGCGCAGAGCAGGGGGAGCGCAGGTCGGTCAGGCGATGGGCTGGGAGGCGGGCGGCCTCCTCACCTTCGATGTCCGTCACCTCAAGGTCACCAGCTGGCTCCCCAGGGGCTGGGCGGGGCCGATTCTGAGCGCACTGGTCCAGCGCGTGGCTGCACGGAGCTGACGGAGGCGCGGGCACACCGGGCGGGGCAGGCCGCTCTGAGCACCCGGGGCCGGGGCCAGCGTTTCCCCTGGGCCGGGGGGGCCACGGGTGCTGCACAGCCCCTCGTCCTGGGGCAGCCGGCTCCGTGCTGCGTGGGGCTGGGGTCGAGGGAGGCCGTGCAGGGGCGTCCGTGTCACTGTGCCCAGGAGCCGGCGTCCGCTGTGGGTGCTGCACAGAGGGGACCCGGCGACATCATGCTGGCAGCGAGCCGGGGTGGGGAGTCCTGTGTCTCCAGGTCGAAGGGAAAGTGAAAACGAGTTCTGTAGGTAGAACCCTCCCGCCATGGGCCCCTCAAGGCTGGGATTAGGACGGGGAATTCTAAGAGGTGGGGGTGATCGGGGGCAGGGGGAAGCAGGCAGGGGGAACTGAGGCCCCTCAAGGGGGAGGGAGGGGCCGGCTCCGGGCCCCAGCAGGCTTCCTCTGGCTCCGAGAAGACCGTGTGCAGCCCTCCACCTGCTTCCCGACAGGATCGACCTCCCGTGCCCCAAAGGCTGGTGGGGGAACCCCGTGTGCGGCCCGTGCCACTGTGCCGTCGACAAAGGCTTCGATCCGGACTGCAACAAGACCAGCGGGCAGTGCCAGTGCAAGGTGAGGCCAGCCCACGGGAGGTCTGCGGGCACGTGTCCCTCACCCGTTCCTGGGTGCCAAGCCCGGGAGGTGGCCCTGCATGCACACACACACACACCTACATGTGCATAGACACACACACAGGCACACACCTACACGTGCATAGCTACATGCACGTGCACACACCTACATGTGCACAACACATGCACACACACCTACATACACCTACATGTGCATAGACACACACCTACACACACGCCTACTTACACACACCTACACCCACGCATATTTACACACACCTACCTGGACACATGCACACACACATCTTGAGCCCAGGGAATCACGTGCACACACACCTACATGTACATAAACACACCTACCTGCGCACGTCTACACATGCACACGCGTCCCGAGCCTGGGCATCACGTGCACACTCCCTTGCCTGCTGATGTGGGCCTGGGTGTCCCGCTGCCCCGAGGTCCTGAGGCCCCCGGGGCTGCCTTCCCCTGGGAGCCGCTGGGACCACAGGACTAGCGTCCTCAGCCCACACCCGGGACCCCGAGCAGCGTCCGTGGGGTCGGCTCGTCTTCGGCACCGACCACGAGCCCCCCGCCCGGCTTCTGGCGTTCGCAGGAGAACCACTACCAGCCCCCGGACCAGGACGCCTGCCTGCCCTGCGACTGCTTCCCGCACGGCTCCCACAGCCGCGCCTGCGACGCCGACACCGGGCAGTGCGCCTGCAGGCCCGGGGTCATCGGCCGCCAGTGCAACCGCTGCGACAACCCTTTCGCCGAGGTCACCGTGCTCGGCTGCGAAGGTCGGCGGTGCCCCTTGACCCCCGTGAGGCCGTGTCGCAGGGGCAGGCCGCTGGGCACGGCGTGCATGCGTGCGTACGTGTGTACATGTGTGTGTGCGTGTGTGTGTGTGTGTGTGTGTGTGTGAACGCGCACCGCACACTCTGGCGTTTGAGGAATGCTCAGCTTAGGGTCTGTGCACCTGGCGCTCTGTGACCTTGGCCCTCGTTAGAGCTGGTCGCCCGTCCCGTCCTCACTGCGGGAGAAGGTGGGGGTCTGGTTTGGGGGCGGGGCCCCCAGGGAGGAGTGAGCAGAGCCCTGCACCCGGGGGTGGCTGGGCCAGGCTGAGGGTCTCCCCTCTGCCCCCCAGTGATCTACAGCGGGTGTCCCAGAGCGTTTGAAGCTGGCATCTGGTGGCCGCAGACCAAGTTTGGGCAGCCGGCCGCGGTGCCGTGCCCCAAGGGATCCGTGGGTAAGTGCCAGGGCCGGGGCGTCCACGCCGGGCAGGAGGGCGGGGCAGTGGTTGCGGGAGAGAGTCCGGACCTCACGGACGCTCCGTGTTCCATGCTGAGAAACCTCAGTTTAGCCGAAGTGTTGGGGGACGTGAGGAACTTCTCCTTAATAATAAGTGACAGAACCTGGGAGGGCAGCGCGGCCGCACACAGCACAGCGGCCGGGGCTGCTCCCCGCTCAGCCGCTCTCTGTAGAAGGGGTGGAGCTGCATCTGCCCGTGAGGGGTGGAGCCCGCAGCGTGGGTGCGAGTGGGTGCTCCGGAAGGCGGTGAGCCGGCTTCTTTCTCGAGGACTTGCTCCGATGTCTGCCTGTCACGGCTGGGCTCCGGCCACCTGCTTGCAGACAGCCCACAGCTCAGACATTGCCCGGGCGGGAGACGGGACCACCCTTGCTGGCCTCGTGGCCGTGGCTCCCGCTGGTCTCATGGCTGGGTCCCCCACTAGTCCCGTGGCTGGGCTCCCGCTGGTCCCATGGCTGGGCTCCTGCTGGTCCCGTGGCTGGGCTCCCGCTGGCCTCGTGGCTGGGCCCCAGCTGGCCTTGTGGCCGGGGCCCCTGCGAGTCCTGGGCCAGCGAGGGGTGGGCATCACCCGGGTGCACACACCACGGGAACACACCGGGTCTGAGCACATCGGGACGAACACATGTCGATTAGCCGTCAGTACTTCAGTTTCGCGTCCCTCCTCTGCCCCAGGCACCGCCGTCCGGCACTGCAGCGGGGAGAAGGGCTGGCGGCCCCCCGAGCTCTTCAACTGCACCACGGCCTCCTTCGTGCAGCTCAAAGCCGTGGTAGGGACGGGCGTGCGGAGCCCCGGGAGGGTGGGGTCGAGGCAGCGCCCGAGGTCAGACACCAGCCCGGCTCCGGACACGTCTCCCCGTTCCCTTCAGGCCCCAGCTGTGCCTGTGGCCCTGCAGACACCACCAAGTCCCAGGGTGGAGTCCCGCCCTCCCCTCTCGCCCTCCTCCCAGCGCCTCAGATGCTCCGGCCCCTCCCACTTGGCGTGTTTTTCAGCCAATTGTTGGCCTGACAGACCCTCCTTTTTCATACCAGTTATCAGCCGGGGTCGTTTTGGTTTTTTTGTTTTTTTAATATATTTTTACTAGAGGCCCGGTGCACGAAATTCGTGCAAGGACCTTGGGCCCCCACCTGCCACCTCCGAGGCCAGGGGCCTCTGCCGCCTCTGCCTTGGTCCCTGCCCACTGCGGCTTTGTCCGGAAGGAAGGACGTCCAGTCTAATTAGCATATTATACTTTTATTATTATAGATTGACTTCAGAGAGGAAGGGAGAGGGAGAGAGATGAA